TTGTTGTGGGTGTCAGTTCGCTACAAAAACAAATCAAGCATTTGTTGTTATCATTTGCATAATGACTTTTTAATTCTTTGCAGCTCACAAACACACCAGCACCTCCTCAGCAACATACATATACACTCGTAAATGGAAACAGACAGTCTGGCATCATAAGTTGGCGCAAGTTCGTTGCCTAAGTCATTCGTTTGGCATTGTGGCCCAAATTAAAGTGTAATTTGGTCAGCCATTAGATGGTCTCTCTGGCACTGGCGGCATTTGATCGCCTCTAATTAAATAGCATTTCCGCTTGAAAATTATACCACTCTCGGGGCCCGCTAATATACACAAATCTATACACACACACACAGACATAGAGGTACGTAATAGGTGCGGCCTAGATGTGAAGATGTGAATTGCGCGAAGTGGCCAAAAACATAAAAATAATACTTAATAATGAAAAAAGGCGAGCGGCATAAAACAGAGCGGAAAAAGCTCGCCTGCAGAATGGGTAGAGAAGCAAACAGAGTTCGTAGTGTGTGCTTTGGCAGAGTCATCCCATTATACCATCATGACATCGTATGGCATGGCACGGCTGGGAAGAGCACGTGTCGCACACATAATAAATGGTCTACGACTTGAGGCTGAATCAGCGAAGCAGCTTGACAGACAATGGGACTTACAGCCCAAATATCAAATTGACAATGTCTAACAAAATTTGATCGGATAACACCACAACAGTACACCAGCAATAATACTTTTGTAAACAGAAATGCTATGCTTGCACAAATCTCATAATTACAACTAAACAGAAATAAGTAGCTTTAGAAATAAAAGGGAGAAAAGGTCAAGCATTTTGTTAAAGCTTTTACGTTTCCTTGTATACCTTTTAACAACCAAAATTTAACTTCCCAGTTCAATTTGCAAGATCAGTTAATATCTCAGCATTATAAAACTTCATAGTTGACAAATAAATAGCTATAAATTTAACAAGAAACTAATCCCGAGCCAACTCAACCTAGTAAAATGCTATTTAAATAAAGTCTAAAATTTCATTACATTGCTGATAAAACAAATATTCAAACTAATTTAATAAGTCAATACCATTAATTGTTTTCTATAAAAAATTCGAAAGAAGCAATTCTTAAAAGAAAAGCTGAGGATAATAAACTTATTCAATCAAACAAAAGTGACTTTACAATATCTATCGAATTTATAAAAAATATTTACAAAAACTATTGTTAGTGAACTATAAACGCAATCTTAAAATAGATCAACATTTTAAGCTCTAAATAGAATTACATTTATCCCTAACTTTTCTAATTTGTATTTTACTTAAATTCTTGTAAATTGTGAAAAAATCTAATCTAAATAAACATATTTGATAAATGTAAAGGGAATCTAAAAAAAGTAAGAATTATTCTAAAACAATTGATTATACAAATAAAATATCTGAAGAATCACGATTAAAAGAGGAGAGACACACTTGGTGAGACGAACGCTGATTGTTTATATTTGTAATTTATTTAACTGGCAATATATTTTACTTTGTTTACTTTTCTTCTTCTCTTAACTACAATAGTAAATTTTGTCAGGTTTAACTAATTAACGCTTCTAATATACAAATGGATGATGAACCATGCGTGGCGGCACAATTCTACTGCCCTAAACGAAGAAGTCGGCTTATAGCAAGAAATGGACTAGAATCGATGTAGTTGTTTTATATCAGCAGCAGGGCTTCCAGTTTCTTATACATACGTTATATGTATGTGCAGATTGATAAGCATTTGTAAAATATTTGTGTTCTTGTTTCATCTTTTAAATATTTATAATTGAGTTATTCTTTGTTTTTCTAAAATGTCATTGCATTGCTTTTAAAGTTTTTCTTTAAAACTGTTGCCTTCATAAAGTTTATTTCTGTTGCATTAATTTCATAATTAATATTTGCTGATAATTTTGAAAAGTTTTATATTATTTACACACAATATTCTAGTCATATTTTTACATACATACATAATTGTATTTAAATTCAAGAAAGCTCTGCTTTTCTGTTATGATATCAATCATTTATTTACCAACTTTATGTTTTAAATGTATTTATATTCCATTTGTTTTTATTTTTTGTTTCTTAGCTTGTCATCTAAAACGAAATTAAGTTGTTCTAGCATACAATTGTTGTTATTTCGTTAATTTTAGATGGCGTGCCTCTTTTGTGTTCTTTTCTTTAAGGCCAAGAGGGCCAGCAGCAGATACTCTTTCATACATACTCGTAGGTATGTAGGGAGCATGTTCTTCTTGTTGTTGTTGGTGTTGGTGTTGGAGTACGTACAACCGAAATTAAAGTTGCTGTTATGACCGTTGCTGCTGTTGATGAAGCTGCAATTATCCTCATGATTGCGAATTCCATTCGCAGCTGCCCGCCAGGGCGCTGACGCGCTGCCTCCCTGCCTCATCGCTACTCTTCGCAGACTCTTCGCCATTCGCGCACACAATATGCGCTCCAAATAAAACGAACCCAACGTTCTTTCGCGCCAGTAACAGCAGCAGCAGCAGCAACAGGAACAGCAACAGCAACTAGTGCCCCTGGAGTCCATCAATTGCAATGGCAGGCGTTGTTTTTTCAGGGCTTTTGGGGCCGAAACGAAAATTAAACAATGACGAGCAGCTGAGAAATATTTTGTGTTCTCACTCAGTTCTGCGCAGTTATGCGAAAGCAGCGACTCGGCTTTTAGTCAAATTCCAAAACTTTTTATTTTCAAAATATATTTCAATTTGCTTTAGTTTTGTGCCACAAAATATGTTCAGCCCTTGTCTCTGGCCTGGTCAGAGCGCTTCTTATTTCAATTTGTTGTCTTCTTTTATTTTATTTTATTTAATTCGGCATTCCAATTCTGCTTTTGTTTTTTGGTTTATTGTCTTCACGAGACCGCAGATTGGCTTTAATATAAAAAAAAGCAAGGCAGAAGGAAAAACGCTGACTACCTACCAAAGTATATACAAGTATGTATATGCGTGTGTGTGTTGCCGAACTGAATTTAGTTTTTATTTCGACAAGTTTTTAGTGCGGTCCAGGCTGATGTTCTGATGTGCTGATGTGTAGATGTGGTGGCTGCTGCTTTTATGATTATTGAGCCGCTTCAGAACGGGCATTAGCTGCCAATCTCTATCTCTTTCTCAAAACATAAGATTTGTATCATGGCCGAGTTGCGAAACTCATTTCACTTATTCTCTTCTGTTCTTTTTTTATTTTGTCTTTTTTTTTGTATTATTATATTTTTGCGTGAGCCAATTATGCGTTTTGTGTTTTCGTTTGTGGTTTGAAGCCACTTAGGTGGTTGCGGGGACGCATGTCCAGACACAATCCAGACAGACCAAAATATCGTATCTCTGCTCTGCTGTGCTGTGCTTTTCTTTCATTGTAATTATGGAAACGTGACTTTTTGTGATTTCATCAAACATTTCGTTGGCAGAATTGCCGTTGTTATTTCTAGCCATCGGAGCCTTTAATTTGGTGCGTCTCACGTTGTTAGTGGCTGAGATGAGATGGGCTCTGATTTGATTTGATTTGATTTGATTGGATTTGCTGTGATTTGCTGTGATTTGCTTTGATTTGCGGAAATGTCTGAATGTCTGAAATTTCAGTTTTCTTTGAAACTACTATACACGAATTATATTTTGGATCAATCGCGCTACGAGTATTGTCTTAGAGACGCGCTAGTCGACGAGAGCCACACACTCGAGGACAGAAAGCAGCTTCATAAAATGTTTTTATTAGATTTAGTTATAAAATTTTGTGTCGCTTTTTATTTCTTGTCTTATTCCTAACTGAGCGCTGAGTTGAAACTCGTGTTGTTAAATTGCTGGGAAGTTTGAAACATTTTGGATTTGTTGTTATTTTTTTCTTCAGCTTTTTCAACTCTTTTTTTTTTTTTGACTGAAGGCAAGAGGCACAAGAGGTCACATTTATGTACATGTGTGTGTGTGTGTGTGTGGTTGTGTATGGAAAAAATGGGTGATAGCAAAGACCAGAAAGCCGCAGCGCAACAACGGCGAACAAAATGCCTTCGTTAAGCGCTAGAAACGGTTTTAGGCTGGTTGTTTCCTATTTCTTTTGGTTGCCTATTTTGTGAGCGGGGAAAAATGTTATAAAAATGTAATTACCCGATGATGAATGGATTAACTACAAAAGAGTGAGAAGCCAAAGAGTGCGCTCATGTTGCTCAATGGGCCGGACAGGGAATTGGGACGGGGGCAAGTGGAGGTTTGTTTGGAATTTTGTTACTCAAGCAGTTAACAAGCAAATGTCTTTGGCAAGTAGCGAACGCAAACGTAAACTCAAACTCAAATAGAAACAGAAACATAAACTGAAACGTTGCCTGCCCGTTGATTCCCTACGGATGTCGATCTATCTGACTGGGTAATTGATGCATGAGATTAGTTTGGGTTTGAAGTACGTAGAAAATCCATAAGTGACGCTCGTTGCCGTGTATCTGTCTGTCTTTCTGAGTCTGAGTCTCTGATTCGAGTCACATGGCCAGCACACTGGCATTTGGTAAACGTTTTTAATGACTTGGCAACGTTTGAGGCTGGCAACAAAGTGGGTCAGCGAACAGCCACCCAGCGCACTGAGTGCACAAACGGGAAGCTCACAAGACAAATGAGACTCTGCACAGTGGGGTGAAAGGTAAGGCATGTGTAGGTTTTCTAAGTCTTGGCGCTGCAAACAAATTCAAATTACATGGGGGGTCACCAATCTGGTGGGGAGTGCTAAATTGCACAAAATAGGTCGCTTGTTTGTGTTCAGTATTAGCCAATAAAATAAAGTTGTTAGTGCGTTTCGTTCGCTATCGAGCAACTTCTTAGTCTTATTGGTCTACCTCGGAGCTCCCAATTCGGCAAGGATATACTGACTGATTTGAAGCAATCTTAAATTTCAGAAACAACCCAATCAGTACTTCCCACTGTGCCGCCACATTACAAGCTAAGGAGAGTATATATTTGAATGCTTAATGACTCACCTTGAGTATACATCTGCCCATGGGCTCGTTTTCCGCCACAGAGACATTGTAGAAGCTCTGATCGAAGATCGGTTCGTTATCGTTGACATCGTGTATGGTAACCAGCACAGTGGCGGTTGAGGAAAGCGGCGGATGGCCACGATCTGTGGCAATGACAGTCAGCTGTGGCACCGGCTCCGTTTCACAATCGATGTGCGATCGCGTGGTGATCAGACCCGTGTGTGCATCGATTTGGAACCATTGGGCATGCGTTTCGGGTGTATCGGCCAGGGCATAGTTCAATGCCGAATTACTGCCCTCGTCACGATCGCGTGCGATCACCTGCAGCACTGAGGTGCCTGGATCGGCCACCTCCATAACATTGGCATGATAGACCTCGTGCTCGAACTCGGGCGCATTGTCGTTGACGTCGGTGACGCGCAAAAAGATCGTCTTGCTGGCATGTAGTGGCGGGGTGCCCTTATCCGTGGCCACCACACTCAGCGTGTAGTTGGGTGTGGACTCGCGATCAAGTGGCAGATTAACAATTACCAAATAGATGCTATTGTCGCGAGTGGTCAAGGCAAAGTGACCATCGCCACCATTCAGGGAGACATTCACATTGGCATATTCCGTCTTGGAGTCCGGATCGTGCACGGAAATGCGTGCCACAAACTCTCCGGGCTGTGCCGACTCTGAAATCTTTGGCGAGGCATCGTCGCTCAGGAATATGACATTGATCGTCGGTTGATTGTCATTCACATCAGTCACACGTATGGACACAAAGGCTGTGGTCTCCAGTGGTTGTTCGCCGTGATCTTTGGCCACAACAACCAGTTCGTGCAGCTCCTTCGTTTCAAAGTCTAGCTGCTTGTTAATATAGACGACACCGGTTTGTGCATCAATGCGAAACATTTGCTCCTTGTCGCTCTGTCGGCGATTAATGGCGTATTCTACGAGTCCGTTCTCATCCGCATCCGTATCGGAGGCATAGACCTGCAGCACATTTGTGCCCACAGTCGCATTCTCCGGCACAGTGGCAAAGTACCGACTCTGATTAAATATGGGCTGATTGTCATTCACATCCTGTATGGTGATGTTTACGGTCATCAGACCGCGCAGTGGCGGCGTACCACCGTCCAGAGCTTCGATCAGCAGATTGTAGGCTGGTGTCGTCTCGCGATCGAGGAAGCCACTGATCTGTAGATCCAAATATAGGACGCCATCGCGTTCCCTGTGCGAGGACAACTTGAAGGCGTCGTTCACATTGCCGGACACAATGTTATAGCGCTGGGTGTTGAAGGGCTCGAGATCAAGATCGCGCGCAGGCAATAGCGTGCGTTTCACATCACGTGGCGTATTCTCCGGAAACTCGATATGCATCACGGATTGTGGAAATGTCGGTGCATTATCGTTCTCATCTTTCACCGTTACGACAACGCGCACATTCATGCCACTCAACGGTATGGCCACCAGACTGTAGGAGGCCCGCGTCTCCCGATCTAGCTTGACTTTGGTGCGTATTTCGCCGGTGATGCGATCTATGGCCAAATCCGTATCCACACCGTTCTCTGCCACTATTATGTACGGCGGTCCGCTGTCCACGCTATCGAAATCGCCAATAAAGCCAATTTGGTGACCCACAGGCACGCCTTCCGACACTTCTAACTTCCTCTCCCGCTCCCTATCATTGCCACCGGATGCTTCTGCTTCGACGCCCAGAAGCAGTAGCAGCAGTAACCACAGCCAGCCTAATCCCAGACCTCTAGTGGTTATTGCCCTTGAGATGTTGTTGTTGTTGTTGTTGCGTCGCCGGCATCTGTGAAACATTATGTAATCTTTTCTGGGCGCAATTGCCGTTTTGGGTGTTTTTCGTTTTGTTGTTGCTATTGTTGTTGCTGCTACTGTTGTTGTTGTTGAAGTTGCAGTTGCAGTTGTTGCTGTTGCTGTTGTTTTTGTGTTTGCACAACTTGTCGTTGCTTTATGCATCGTTGAGTTTTCCTTTTCGTTGTCGTTGTTGCTGCTGCTATTGTTTGCTTGCTAAAAACTCTACATGGCGCTTATACATATGTCTGTATGTATGTATATTTCCATGTATGCTTGTATATATATATATATATGTGTGTATTTGTTTATGCGCTTATGTCGATTTGCGTTGCAGCTCGTCAACCTTGCGCTCAACAGCAGCGACTGCAGCAGCCATTTTGTGCTGTAAATGAATTGAAAAAAAATAAAAAATAATTAAAAAAGAGTTAGTGATATTTTGCATAGACGTGTGAAACCTTTTTCAAAATTCTTCAAAAGCAAGCCGGCATGGCATGACTATTGGAAGTCAAATATCATGCAACTTGAAGTTTTCTCATAAATATTTTTTTAAATACATGTACTTGTAATGAAATGATTTTCTGTCACTAAAGACTCCAAACAGCTATAACGAATGAAAATATAATAGCATTATTATGAGAATTATTTTCCGAATTAATTCAATAATAATTTCATGAACAATACTGTAGTGAAGAAACTGTGAAGCTAGAGCATAAAAGACTTTAATATAAATAAAACATTCGATTTTCTTATAAAAAACAAATGTATGTTTAGACCCTCTAACATACTACAAAACACTGATGGGAGTCTGTCACTGAAATGAAGAGCAAACTAAAGCTAAGCGAACCGTAATTTGTTATACCTATAAAGTCTTCTTTATTTATTTATTTCCTATTTATTTATTAATCGACAAACAGAGCTGCCGATGGGAGAAAAAGAATTGCTTCCAAAAGGATACAGACTAAGCTTCTAGTCAAACATCATCAAATTCAGAACAGAAGAAGCTAATTAAATGAAACTAGTTGAGAGACTAGAGTGGGCGATTTCATTATATTGTAAAATTTGAGTAAGTAGACTCTTTGATTACAACAAACAGACATATAGGTGCATATAAATATCTCTGCATATAAATATCTCTGATTTAGAAATTAAAAAGATACAGATTCTACACTTTTAACTACAATTTCTTGTTGCTTTTAAATAAAAGAATATTATATTATTGTAAATTTGTATGATTCCACGTTTTCCAATTGACAGTTCCTTGTCAGAAATAAATTTAAAAAATAATTTGAAATAATATATTAATTAGAATCTTTACCATTTTATTGACATTCTCTCCCATTTCTGAGTTGAATATGCATTTTATTAAAGGGTGTGGAGCCATAATGAGCAAATCTCGATGTATGCTCTGGGTGGTTGAGCTTTATAACATACATAGCTAATACTGACCTATATAATAAATTGAATTGGGATATGTTCATCATACTTTTTCAGTTGTACTCGTATGCCTACACACTAGAGTTGGTTGATTTTCCTTATTTCCTGAATTCCTTTTTATTTCAAATGCGAACGAATCTTCTATTTTAAACATTCATTTCTAGATCAATTATCAATTGGTTATATCTATATAAGAAAAGGCTATTTTTGAATAAACGAAACCTTAATTAGCAGTATAATAAGAACTTAGACAAAAATCAACTGGGCATTCAAATATAAATGACAAGAAAGAATTGCTCATTTGAAAAACGGCAAATAGGATTCTTTTTAATTACTAAAAGAAAATCTTCTATTCAATTTTATAAGGCTTTGCCAAAGTGTTACCCACAATATTTATTAATCTGTTGCTTGCTTTGCATTCTAAAATATCGTTAGACATATTTAACTAAACTAAGACATTACTCCGACCCACAATTGCATTAAAGCCTTGGCTGCAGTCTTAGTTAAGAGCAACGACAATTACGTATTGCTTCTCCCATACACCATGGGGCTATAGATGCAATGTTAAGTGTCTCGACTTATGCTAGTGAGCAGAGGCCTTAATATTGACTAATAACATGAAAAATCTGCCGCCGACAACATAAAGTTGTTGCTGTTGGTGTTGTTGTTGGTTTTGGTTTTCGTTTTGCTGCCCACGCGGGCCCAGTTAATGGCGCTGACTGAATTGTGGGGCTGGCCAAATGCGCTTAGCAGATACAACTAATAGGCTGATAACTGCACTAAGCACATAAGGTGATTGGTTAAGCTTCCTCTTCTTCTTCTTTTTGTGTCGTCATCATCATAATAATCGTCTTCGAATGGCATTCCATGCTTACGCATTGTGGAAATATGTTTTCTTTTATTTTGTCTGAACTTGGCAACGGCGTTGGCAATGCGTTCGGGCCATTTGAATTTCAAATGGTCGAGAATAGTGCGGCGATAAAGCACAACTAAACGAAACCAGAAACGGAATAAGAAAATTTTGTTCTTTTCTATGTGGAATGAAGACAAAAGAAGCTGCTGCTCGAGCTCGAGATCTCGAACTACCTGCGTGCGAAAGGTTCAAAGGCTAAAAGGGTCTGGGTCTGGGCTCTGTCTTTAAGTCTCCCTTCATCTCTGATTCTGTCTCTGTTTTTTTGGGTTCTGTGTCGGCGTTAAAATATTGCTCAGTACACACACACACATATAGAAATTGTCTGATGGAGAAATCGAACTTGTTGTTGGCATTGTGTGTGAGTGTGTGTGTGTGTGTGAGCCAGAATTTCAAATGTGTAGTTGGCCAAGCAGAAATTCGTGGTCAACAATTTAGTTAACAAGACCATGACTAACACTTTTTTGTGCGGCACATTCGAGTGGCCAAAACAACAATAACAATAACAACGACAACAAATATTCGAAACTGCTGCAATTTGAAAGATTTTTCTCGCGCGATAAGCGAAAAATACAAAACGAACGAAAAAAAAATGAGAAACAGAAATAAAATTATGATTATGGTTTTTTTTTCCTTTTGGTTAACACAGCAAGGGAAATGTTTCAAAAAATTTGTTTTTCACATATCTACTTCGTGATAGTTTTATGAGCACGCTGGCAGCGATAAAGATCAGATACAGAATGTGCCGCCTCATCTGCAGCTGATACTGCAAAGGAAGAGACTGACACACACATATACAAAGCAATTATAAATGAATTAAAAGTTCAAGCATGTATGTGAGTGAGTCGAAGGAAATTCCAAATAGCACTCAATTATAGCTTCTACACGTGAAGAAAAACTGTGCTGGTAAGGCAAATAAAACGCATGTTAAAGGCGGCCAAACATATCAAGATCTTGGCCATTTAAATGGTTTGTTATTGAACTAGAAGTGTCTTAGCCAGAGGTTAACAACACCAGCAGATTCCTATTCCAGAAACAATCTTTAAAGGCGCCCTTTTTCTTACTCTCTATAGGTCTCTTGTGGGCAAATTTTAAGATTATTTATACGCATTTCATCTAAAAACTATATTTTATTAGTGCATTAAAGCAAATAGTTGCTTTTTGGTATCAATTGTTCGATTCTTTTGATTGTAAGTCAACGTCTTTAATTAAGGACTGGGTCTGTTCTCAAATGCATCACACTTGTATAAACATATGCTTTATCTTTTGTGACTTTGAAGATGCTTTGTCTAGAAAGACTAAAGAAATTCCCGCGTTTCTCCTTTCTCAGACTTCCTCTGTTTGAACCACTGCCAATAGGCAGGCATCTGGATAGAACCGAAGAAGTTTAATTGTGCATTCTCGAAGTTTAATTCATATTTAAAATGTGAGACTGTGCTGCCAATTTACACCTTTCTTATTATTTTCAGCATTAAACTATATATTTACTGCAACTACAAGTATATATATTCGAGAATTAATTCATTAATTCCGCCTGCTTAACAATTGAGTAATTAAATGACATTCTGATTAACAAATTTAATTTGTACATGTGAAAAAGTAGATCGTGAAGTCGATTCGATAATTCCTTTCTTTGGCGGCATCTGAACTCGAAACGATTAAAAAACATTAGGCTTAGATAGAAAAATAGATAACTGAAATGCTCAAAGTTTCTATTAAGACACTAAATGATTTCCAATCAAAATATGATGTTATTCAAATTTGAAGAAATTAATATGAATGAGAAGAAAGTAAAACAATGTTCTGCTTTGAGTAAAAAAATATTTAAATTTCTTAATGCTTCTCTATTATAATTGATGTTAAAAGAGGTAAAGAGTTTCCTGTTTTTGAAGTAAATAGTTTAACAAATTAATAAGGCAAATAACTCAACAACTCTAATACAGCTTCAATCTTTTTGTCCGAACATTAATTTTTAAAAATCTTTATTCTTTATTTAAGACAATTATTAAATTTGATGAATTAAAATTAAGAATTCTTGTGTAATACGAATATGAAAATACATAAATATTTTAAGCATTACATTTTTTATCAATCATTTGTTATATTTATATTTGGATGCTATTTATTCATAATTCAGTGCCGCATTTTTTCTGAGTGTATGCACATGTAACCATAATTGATAAATGAGTTTCGCTTTTCGCTCCAGAATACTCGTGCTCGTACCACATGTGAAAAGTTCTTGATTGTCGTAAAGTCTTGATATTTGATTGACACTAATGCACTCTGGCTGGCAGAGCACGCAGCGAAATTAGCCAAGAAAATGATGCCAAGGCCTTTGAAGCTGGTCCGCTTCTATTACGGCTCTAATAACTTTATAATGATTGCGTTTTGCCAATGTCCCTTCCTGGAAATGCTGCGCGTCAGTCCAACATGAAATGTAATTTAATAAAATACAAGTATATACATATGCTCGTATGTACTCGTCCACATACTATAAAGCAGCAGGCAAGAGCTTGAGCGTTAAGCTTGAACTCTTCTGCAACGAGGCATGTACGCAAATTACATGCAGCAAGAGTTGGAGTTGCAGTTGCAGTTGCATTTGCAGCTTAGACTCTGCTGCGGAAACGTCAGTTTGATTTGCAGTTGTCATAAGTTTAGATGAACTGC